CGGAGACTCGTATCCAATACCTAATGGTATTGGATACGCGTCTCCGATAGTAACATCATTCAATTTTCTGTAGTCGACAACTATACGCCATTTCTTTTGACCGGAGGCATCCTGTTTTTTAGGGACAACCCAGATAGGAGAAGACCACGGTGAACTTGAAGGTTTGATAATGTTTTCTTTTAACATCTTTTGAATCTGTCTATTGACTTCCTCTTTGTGACACTCAGGGTACCTGTAAGTTTTGGCATGAATCGGTTGGGAATTAGTAGTTTTAATCTCATGAGTCAAAGTATCGGTACATGTTAGTTGGTCTCCTTCTAGGTAGAAAAGGTCTGAGTATTCTGAACATAGTTCCAGGAGTACCTTGGATTCTTCGACATTAAGATGGGAAGTTCTAATTTGCTCTTTTACTTTGTATATCCTATTTGGTGGAATAATAGTGTTAATCTGTGAAGTTGATACTGGATTTGGAAATGATTCGTTTAAGATATGGCAAGGGTTTAATTCTACATTGAGGGAGTGTATAGTAATATTATCATCTGTGGTATTGAGTATAGAGACGTTAATGTGTTTATTTCTTTAAACAGATACAAGACAATTAGACAAGTATACACCTTGTTGTATTTCCTTTTTATCTACATAACCTAATAAAACTTCGGGATTAGACGCTTCACATTCTATTATCATTTCAGAACGAGCTGGTATTACATAATGAGGTTTGGTAAAATGTAGTTTTACTTTACTATTATTTATCAGTAAGCAATCATTTTTGTAATCAATGCTGGAGGTATATAATCTAAGGAAATCGTTTCCTATTATACCATCAAAATTAATCTCAACTGAGTCTGGAATTAGGTGGAAAGTTCCATATATGGTTACGGAATTTGACAGAATAATATCTAATTGGAAATGACCTAAACTAGTAGAGTGATCGGCATCTTTATCTATACCTTTGAATTTAATAATTTCTTTTACTAAGGTAGGTTGTTTTTCTAATGAAGATTTCTTAAGTAAGGATACAGTGGAACCAGAATCGACCAGAAGTATTAGGGATTTAGAGGAGTACTGAGAGTTTATATATCATCATCATCATCAGCCTATTAATGTCCCCACTCCTGGGGCACAGGCCTTCCTTATGGATGGAATAGGGAGATTGGGCCATGACCCACCACGCGGGCCCAGTGCGGATTGGCGGGTGCTAACGACTGCAGATGCAGCCGGGACCAACGGCTTAACGTGCCTTCCGAAGCACGAAGGAGCTCGAGATAGTAAATTGTTGGTCACCCATCCAATGACCGGCCACTGCGAAAGTTGCTTAATTTCAACGATCGCAGCCGAACGCGCTAACCACTTGCGCCATCGAGCTCCTCGAGTTTATATATATATGAGGCAAATGTGTATTAGAATTGTAATTTATTTCGTGTATATATAATGGTTGCGAGATAGTATTGGATTGTTCTTCGGTTTCTGTGTGTCTTTTAGGTTTCTTGGTTTTCTTTGGCTTAGGACGAGAAGCTTTGACAGATTCAGTAGCAGAATTCGATTTTCTATGTCGGGATATAAGATTTTTACGGGATTTAGCAGGATTAGTTTGTTTACTAGAAATGTGGGGTAGGCCAGAGTTAGAAGATGCAGTGGGTTTAGAGATTTTAGTTGAGTTAGGGGGTTCGGTAAATTCACAAGGAATATTGGAATTAGTAAATGTATCTAAGTTGCTAGCAGTAGTGTTAAGTTGAAAAGGTTTAATAAGTTCGGAAGAAATTGTAGTACGCACAGTGGAATTGGTAGATACACTAGGAGTGGTAGATACAGTGGAGCTAGTAGATACGGCGGGATTGGTTGCTTCAGTGGAGAAAGTAGATACAGTGGAGGTACTAGGTTCAGCGGAAATGGTAGATACAGTGGAGTATATAGGTTTGTTGGAATTAGCAGATACAGCGGAGTTAGTAGGTACAGCGGATTTAGTAGGTACAGCGGAGTTAGTAGATACAGCGGAATTAGTAGATACAGCGGAATTAGTAGAAACAGCGGATTTAGTAGATACAGTGGAGTTAGTAGATACAGCGGAATTAGTAGATTCAGTGGAAATAGTAGGTAAAATAGAGATTGTAGGTTCATTGGGAATAGTAGATACAGCGGAGTTAGCGGATACAGTGGACTTAGTAAAATTGATAAATTTATTATAGTTATTGGATATAGGAGGACTTATGATAGATTGATCATTGACATGGTAAATGGCGTCGTTATAGTTCAATGGTTCCGTATGACGACGCTCAGGCGGAACTCTTTTTAGTTTAAAGACTCGGAATAGTAAGAATTATTATTAAAAGGTTGTGAAAAGTTGTCGTTATAATTAGTATTGTTAATATATTCCCCTGATATATTATGTATTTGTCTATTCTGATTCTGCCGTGAGTTGTTGTATTGTCTTTTACGGCAGTCTTTTATATCATGGCCAGGGTGTTTGCAATAGCGACAAATATTAGTTGGTGGCTGTTGCGAAGTGGAAGGTCTATCGAAAGAAACGTTGTGAATTGGGCGCTGCCTATTTAACAGACAGTTTCTGTCAATGTGGCCTATGCGGCCACAGGTTCGACACCTAGGTCTTATATCAAGGGTTTTTGTAGATTGGACAAGGTTATAAAGTTTTTCTTCTTGAATGGCTAAATTTATTGCCTCACCCAAGGTAGACGGGTTCCTACATCTTAATATGTTGGAGATATGACTAGGTACTCCTAATAAAAATGTATGTAAGGCTAGGTCTTCAGTATTTGCTATTCGCCCTTTCAGTTCACTCTGGTCCACAGTAGAATGCGTGATATCTGTTTGTAATCTAGTTAAATATGTTTCTAACCGTAAGCTATACTGTGATATGGATTCGTTAGGTTTTTGTTTGCAGCTCTGTAAATCTAATAATAAGTGATCTTTATGTTTAGTTTCCCCGAATGTAGTCTTAAGGAATGATTTTAGTTCAACCCAACTGTCAAAAATTTTCAGAGAGCAAGCCGTTTCGGCTTTCCCCTCTAACTGCGATAAAATATATTTAAAGAGAATATCGCATTGTGCGCTGGACGCGAGGTTTAATGCATTGTCACAGTTACGTAAAAATGACGATAATTTATTTCTATCCCCATCGAAGGGCTTTATAAATTTTGTAAGAAAACTTACAGATGTGTTTTCTTTTTCACCCGGTACAGTTACGCTAGACAACCCAGATAGTTCTAATTTTACTTTTTCGTTAGCCATGATCACTTTTTATTAAGATTAGAACAAAAAAAAAATAATCCAATTAAGAGAGAATAAGTTGATTAAAATATAACGTTATTATTATGCACTCACAGAAATAGTATCGCGGTCATTTGTTGATACAGCGTTTTTCACGGTGCGGCGATAAGTAGGTCAGACGGCTTAGCGCCGGCTATCCGGAGTTATGCAGTAAATGCTCGATGCGTAAACGAAGTCGTGCTATGTGTTAGCACGGTTGAAGCGGAGTCTTCTTCTGAGTGGTGCGGAGCCTTCTTCTGTGTGATGCGCTGGGCAAAGAACCCTCGGCACATCAACGCGAAGTCAGTCAGTAGTGATGATGATCGTCGATGGTTGTAGCTGGAGTGGCTGACACACCTCTATGTCAGAGAGACGGTCGGGCGGCAGGCTGGCAGCTCAAGCAAACCCACGGGATGGGCTTATATCGACGGCAGTGATTCTGGTCGTCGTCAGGAGTAGGCGACCATCAGGGAGTAAATCCCTGCTTTCTTCTGACACCAAATGTTAGACGGAGCACTTAATTTGATTTTTAAAAAAAACTTTATTTGCTCACAATCACTTTATTTATATATTTATGTTTGTTATTACACTGCTATCACTTTATTGTTCACTACTACTTCCTTTTAGTTTTAAGGATAACGACTCGCGACGGGCTAGTTTACTAGGCCGTTGAATAGTTCCTCAGAGTTTCCTTGCTGAAGGCCAACCGGCAGGCAGAAACCAGGTCCGTTGTTGGGCAGCAATTCCACAAATCAGAACAAGACTAACTGTAATATTGAAATCGCGGGTTTTTATACAAAAAATATTGCTGATCACAAATTTAATATTGGAAATAATTATTCATTATAGTTTTCCTAAGTCAGCAACATTTCTGTAGTAGGCATTAGGTAGGCAGGTTATAACAGTACGTGTCGTTGCATGAGCCCTCGATATTTCGGCATTGTTGCAAGTGCCATGATCATGAATTAACTCAGTTACGGTATGGCATTAAATATTAGTAATAATAATAATACTGTTTGCGGTATCTCTTGAAGAAGTCACTGTCATACTAGAGGAGATACACACCGCATCACTTACAGTACTGTTGGCAATAAGAATGAATACGAGCAAGACAAAAATAATGTGCAATAACGCCTACCAACAGCATATTACAGCATACGGACCACCCACCGGAGTCATCCCGGAGTATTTGTACTTGGGTCAGATTGTCACGCTCGAAACAGATGGCCAGACGAGGGATATTGAGAAGAGAATCCAGCTGGGAGTGGCAGCTTTTAGCAAACTCTCCTACGTGCTGTAAAGCAGACGCATCCCCATCTTCCTTAAGGGACAGGTATATGATCATAGTCTCCTGCGTGTACCCACCTATGGTGCAGATACCTGGTAACTTACCGATCAACTGTGCTTGTTGTACAAAACGCAAGTGCGGTCCTGCGTGGAATATTGCTCGCACCTCTGGGATGGCTCCGCCAAGTACTTGCTCGATGCTTTGGATAGGTTACAGCGGTGCGCGATCCGCATCATAGGCGATGAGGAGGTGACTAAACACCTTGAGCCTCTTCAATAACGCCGTGACGTTGCATCACTAAGCGCGTTCTATCGTCTGTACCACGGCGAGTGTTCTGAGTTCTGATATAATATGATAAAAACTATCCGTAAATGGAATGCTCTGCCCGCTCACGTGTTCCCTCCCTCTCACAACCTGGGATCCTTTAAAAGGGGCGTGAAGAAGCAACATGAAGGCCGGCAGGGTGAGGATGGCTGGTGTGGTAGGTAGAACTGCTGTATCAGCTATCTTCGCGTCTGTACTTCACCCTCACTTAACATCAGGTGGGGTGGAGGCATTTGTCGGACCTATCTATAAAAAAAAAAACTTACGTTGGAGCTAGCGCGCAAACTTCGAGAGATGGAACATGCAATGTTGGATATCTCGCTTGCGAATCGTATCCATAACAATATCCTGACAATCAGGGAGCGTACTAAAATGTCGAACATCATTCTAGTGGTGGCCAGGTTGAAATGATAATGGGCGGGTCACTTGAGCAGGAGAGGTGACGGCTGTTGGTTTGAACATCTACATGTTAATACACACATCTATATGTTACATGCGTATCATATAACATGTTGTTGATTGCTTTTCATCATTCGTTCGTTTTCATTTTCCTAATAGAGAGCATTCAATATCGCAGCGACTATGAGTACAGCCGCGAAGCGAGCGGCTGGCTGAAGTTCCATCGAGTTCCGGCCACCTTCACTGATGCATTCCTGAGATGTAACGCTGAAGGTAAGAACCGCCACACGAGTGGAATTTTGCAAATTCTACAATCAATTATACCGATAGCTATTGGTTTTTATTGAAAACCTAGCCAATTTACTTTTCACCACCGGATGTTGAGTTAAAGTTTAGTCCAGTTTCGTAGATAATACTTCTTCTCTTCTCATTTCTTCGTCCTCACATGCCAACCTGAACCTTGTAACCTGTAGCAATAATACTCATTGTGGGAACACTGCAGTACAGCAAGTGTATTAAGCTGCCTTCTGTAACACTTAGATAGTATCTTCTACCTTACAGAAGATATCCTGCTGTGACTAAGGTTATCGCGGAGTTCCCCAAAGTTAAGAGAAGTTATTTTATTTAGCAGGGTGTATCTACAGTCGCGTCAGCTATCAGCACTCACTTCGTCATTTCACTCAAATAAAAATATATTGCTTATGGATCCCAGTAGTTAAGTGCTAATCAATGAAGCCCAGTTAAATACGTTTCTGTCTGTTTATTCATTATGTTTATCGGAAAATTTATTGTATCCAGTTTAATTGTAATGTGGTCCTTTTAGCCCTGCAGAGTTTTTTAAATAAATTCGCCTGTAACAAATATGTCTTTCTCAGGGTCAACCGTAGCGTCTCCATCGACTGTAGACCTACGACAAGCTATGATGACAATTGCTAAAACTCATACTGACTCTAGCGGCATCTTCACTGGAGTCCACGCTGTTTTCTCCAAAGGAGATTTCGCAACCGTCGAAGGTATGCTAAAGGACTTATTTTATTACGTGAACTTTCTTTTGATTTATTAAGATTTATCAATAGGATTACCCATTTTCAGGATCGATTGATATTATTAATCCAAATATATCAATCAACAAATAAATAAAATCAGTGCATCTAACCCGTTGAAACTTGTTTCATTTGATAATATATTTTTTATTTGTAGCATCGTGAAAATAGTAGATACATATTTGTATCTGAGTAAAGTAGATAAACTTTAAAGTTGTCTGATAATAGTACGCATGGTTATTGAACACCCACAGAGCAAAGTTTTTTATTTATTTAACCTGTGTAGGTAGTGTATATAAGTAGGAATTGAAGTCCACGCCAACTACTGTCCTTGCCAGACCTAATACCAGACCAAGTAAACCTGAACTAACTGCTAGAAAGCGGCTTGAGCTTACATTAAAGTAAATTCCATCATCGACATGACTTAAATATTTTATTTGATGGATTTACTTCTTCCGGACTTATCTCTTCCTGTTTCGTCTTTTCTTTTTCATATTAATATAATTTGGAAAGAACTGTTATTTATCCCTACTCCCATCATCCCTACTATCGTCTCCATCTCGGTCGGTAACCAATAGTTTAAAGACATTTTTTTTATATTTGTGAAAATATCTCAGGCGTTCCTCTCCATAAGCTGCCAGTCACATGGGCTCCTAACGAACCAGACAACTATAAGAACAATGAAGATTGCACCATCATGCTGCAGAACGGGACACTGGCTGATGTTCGCTGCAACGACACCTATCCCTACATTTGCTATAAGAAGAAGACTGATGATAACCCGCTTCTAACGACATGTGGAACCATCGACACAGGTTGGTAAACTGAAACTCTATTTACAGAGCTACACGCTAAATGCGCACCCAAGCTGTCCTTTATCTAATTCTTTATCTCTGAGGAACAAATGTTAGCTATTTCTTTTGCTCCCACACCAACTGAGCTCGTAGAAAATCAATTTTGTTTTAGAATATGTCCTGGACACTAGCACTGGTAGCTGCTACAAGTTCCACACGGCTGGACACAACTGGAGGCGTGCGTATATGACCTGCATGGCGGAGGGGGGGTACCTGGCTATCATAAACAGCGCTGCCGAGGCGCAAATCATAGCGACCATCTTTGCCAAGTACCCGAGCAGCAAAATCACGGCTGCTCACAAAGATATCGCCGCCATAGGGTTTTACAGCTGGGGAGAACACGGCAACTGGTACACTGTCCAGGGTATGTTGAACAAAGCGTTTTTTTAACTTTATCATCTTTTTTTGTAAAAGAAAAACAGATTACTTGAAAAATTCAATTTCACTAAATAGCGTATTTTAAAGTCTCATCGATTGCTTTCGAGTCCCAATTGGAATTGCTATAGACTTTGACACTATCCAATTGAGGTTCCATATACATATATCATTAATCTGAGGTGCCATAAATCGGTCTTATTTGAAAGGTAGTAAGACCAATAGGATTGTTTCTTTGTGCATTAGGCACATTCGGTCTATTCATGAAGTTGGTTTTCAACCTTTCCTACACAAAAAAAATTAAATCACAATCAAATCAAAAATCTGCTAGTTAAAAATATAATTTCCTATTATGACAAAGTGTTTTTATTTTTCACAGGTGAATCTCTTGAAAAAGCTGGTTATTCAACGTTCGCAAATGGCCAGCCAGACAACCATAAGGCTTACGAAAATGGTTCACTCTGCGGAGGGGTGTACCGTACAGGCGTTTTGGATGACGTGTGGTGTAATAGCGCTTCTTTTCCTTTCATCTGTGAGAAGAAACCAGGCAGCTTGATTCCTGATGATAATTAGAATAACAGTTTTATCTTTTCAACTAAAACGTTACCTTGTCTTATTATTTTTTTTTTTGTTTCTGTGTGCCGAATAATGTCTTAAAAGACATCGAGACGAGGGAATTGAATATTATAATCAGGGCTTGTTTACCGGTTAATTTTCAAACCTAAATCAGTCTCAAGTACATTAGGAGCGTTTTATTTAGGTTTGGCTCTACCTTAACTTCAAAAAACCGGTTTTTCTAAAGAGCGAAATCAAATAGGTTTTGAATAAATTTAGCGGTTTTTAAAGGGTTTCATTTCGCTCTTTCTGACGGCATCGATAAGCAATCGTGTCAATAAATGCATCAATCTCTGAGCATTAACAAGTTGTGACTTGATTAGTTCCAACAAAACAAACTTTAAGCGATGCCGACGCGTGCAAGTGGCGCTCTGGATTTAACCGGTTTATTAAGGTTTAGGTAACGCTTTCATTTCGGACGCGCTCCGAACGAAACTTTTACTAAAAACCGGTATTAACCTTTATTTACAGGTATTTTCGAAACCGGTTTCAAGCCCTGATTATAATGTAATCATTGGATAATGAAATACCTTACTCTCAGATTACTCTCGAAAATATTGTGAAGCTAACTATATATAAAATTAAATAAAAACAATGATGGTAAGTTCACTTATGAAACCAGAAAGGATTACCCAAACCACTCATTGTCAACACAGCCTTATAGTTAATGGGCACATACTATTGACCTACTTAATGTAAAGAAGTTCGTTTACATCGGACACATTCATATTACAAAATACCTAAAAAACCTTATGGTTGTCCTAGGGCAGGACAACTTTTTCAGACCTTGGACATCACGCAGAACATCTATAATAATAATAATAATAATAAATGTTTATTTCAGATGTCCTAGATCCATAGCAATGTTAGTAACAATCAAATCTTAAAAACTGTTTTAGTACATTTAAAAAATAATATTAATTCATATTTTTGCCTTTCATTCTGACAAATTTATTAAAATAAATTAAATTCATTTCATTCAATTCACCCTCTGAGGCACAGAAGTGCATATGTACCCAGTGTCTCAGAATGGCACTCTCCGGTTTTTTCCCGATAACATGAAGAATGCTGTTGGTGCTCCTACGAACCCTGTGCATCAGTGATGCAATTCTCTTGCGCATCACTGAAGGGAAGTCGTCTAAGTGGGCACTGAAAATCCCGATGCACTGCAGTAGCATGGGAGCTTTAACAACTTCTCAATCCATTATTATATTGTACAGGGATAGCGTTGTGTGTGTAGCGTGTGTCCGCTACGTATATCTAACCCACAAGACGCACGTATATAGAGACTGGCAGTAGGCCTTGAACAAGGTAATTTTAACCTCTGCAGCACAGCGAGTGAACCTGCGAGCTAGCATGTTGCAGCGGACAGCCAACGCTCTCCGTGCTCTCTCTATATCTGAGTCGTCTCTCAAGTCCGCAGTGACCACATGTCCGACGTACTCACACCCTGTGATAGGTTTGAGTGCCATACCACCCAATGGCACAAAGGGAACGACGGCAGGTATTTTAGAGCCCACACCAAATACAAGGAGCTCAGTTTTAGCCACGTAATACCTAAGACCATGAGTCATGGTGTAAGCCTTACACACTGATAACAGTCTCCTAAGGGCGCTGATGGATGGGCTCAGAAGAACCATATCGTCTGCGTAATTGATGCTATTAACACAGTGTCCGTCAATTGAGCAGCCGACCCGAGTGCTTTTGGATCCAACAATCAGCTCATTCATATACTATACAGAGTTCTTGTACATTTTGTGACATAGTTACCATTACTCCTGTTTTTATCATCAGTTCGATGGTGTCATATCATTGCACTGACACTGGACATACATGTGTACGATAAGCTCGAAAGCGCATATGCGCTTTATATATATATATATATAACTCAAAGGTGACTGACTGACTGACATAGTGATCTATCAACGCACAGCCCAAACCACTGGACGGATCGGGCTGAAATTTGGCATGCAGGTTCAGGAAAAGGAACATTTTCGTGCTAGATTTTTTAGGATTTTAAATGTTGCTTAAAACCTGTTGAGTCATTTTATCGGTTGGGAACTGCTTTTATGGATGAATGACCTTCAAAAGCAACAATCTACCGCTGGTGTAGCGAGTTCAAACGCGGTCGTCTTACTTTGGGGGATGAACAAAGGAGTGGTCGTCCTACGACGGCTGTCACCGAAGAAAGTGTGCTGGCAGTAAAAAAAAAAATTCAAGAAAACAGACGAATAAGCATACACTGCAGATTGGTTCAGGAAGTGTTCACAAGATTTTGCACGAGCGCCTTTGCGTAAGGAGGATAGTTTCCCGCTGGGTGCCGCACAACCTCACCGAAGCTCAGAAGCAGGCCCGTGTTATGAAGCATTGGTGCAGTGATATGATAAAAAAAGAAATGCAGACTCGTCACGGTGCGTTTACGATATTGTGACAGGTGACGAATCCTGGATTTATCAATACGATCCAGAAAGAAAGCGTCAGTCGACATTTTGGCCGTTTCAAAATAAACCAACGATTACGAAAGTGAAGCGATCGAGGAGCGCAGGGAAATTGAATTTCTTCACTTTGAGTACCTAATGGTAATGGTATAGCACAAAATGCCTGCCAGAAGTTTTTTCTGCAGTAACAAGCGACCTAATACCGGGCTCCGCGGGGTCCTTGTTCACCACGACAACGCGGCCGCGCACTCTGCGATCAAAAAGAAAAACTTCCTGGACTCCACACCAGTCAGAGTCCTGGGACACCCTCCTTACAGTCCTGATTTAGCTCCGTGTGACTTCTTTTTAATTCCTAAAATAAAAAATCAGCTCAAAGGGATACAGTTTTCATCGCCGGAAGAAGCGCTAGCAGCGTTTGAGAAGGCCGTGGAACAGGTGTCTGCGGAGGACTGGAAAAAATGATTGTAAATTGGTTCAGACGCATTAAACTTTGTATAGTGGCTGGTCAAGAGTTCTTTGTAAAGATTTAAAAAATATATCTTTTTTCATAGAAGAAACTTTCTGTGTGTCCCACGTACATCTTATGAATGTAAATCAAATTTATTGAATATTGAACAATCATTTTTTTCGTAGTATTTGTCCTTATATCGAAACATATTTATTAGTAGTTTTGAAGAGATCACTACAGATTCTGCACCTTTGATGGAACCCAGAATGATTCGCTTTTTTGTTCATGAACAATTGCGATCTAATCTTGTAGCCTGACTTGATCACTCGGAAATCTAATCCGTCCAAGAGACGATCAAGTCGACTTGTCAAGTGAATATTGATCGTTCACTGCTTTGACTTGACCTACCGTTAAGCTTTACTACGGGCTTTATCACAATTGAAAATATTTTTTATTGACAGCGTTTGTTGCGGTTGCGGTTGATGCAGCGTGATAAGTATTGATAAGTTTTTCTCATTTGCGGCCGCAACATTAAAGATAAACGTGGCAATGGTTAAAAGCGCCGAAACTATTGCCGAGTGTGAAATAGTAGGGCATCATTATATAGGCCCTTGCTTGTACTATGGATTTTTTTTTCCAACACACCAATTAGCCTAGCCCCAAAGTAAGCATTATAAGGCTTGTGTTATGGGATGCTAGGGTAACGGATAGAATACATATACTGTACATATATAAGTATATTTATATAGAAATACATATTAAACATCCATGACTGGAGTACAAATGCTCGTATTCATCACACAAACATCTGCCCCCACCGGGATTCGAACCCGGGACCTCTGGACGGCCAGATTAGTGTACTTTAGTTATTTCCATAGTGTAATGTCGTACGGAATTTTATTGTGGGGAAATGCCGCCGACATTCAAACTATTTTTGTGCTGCAGAAGAGAGCTATACGATCAATTTATAATCTTAAAATTAAAGAATTATTAAGAGATAAGTTTAAAGAATTTGGAATAATGACGGTCGCATCACAATACATATACGAAAATTTATTACTTGTAAGAAAAAATATTAATTTGTTTCTTATAAACAGTGATGTTCACACAATTAATACAAGAAACAAAAATAAACTAACTTTAACTGCTACTAGGCTTCACAAAATTAATAATTCATTTAAAGGTCTTTATGTTCGCTTATACATTAAAGTCCCAAGCAAATTCCAAGAGTTAGCCATAAATAAATTTAAAGATATTATAAAAAAAACACTTATTAAAAAAGCTTATTACAAAGTGTCTGATTATATTACAGACAAAAATGCTTGGATTTGATCTGTTCCAATCATTCCAACAGGTTTTCTATATTAAATAAATCATAATTGTATTGACGTTGTAACAACATAATGATTTGTAAATGTTGTTACATTAGACTTTTAATGTTGTGGAGTTTTTTTCGTTCGTTTTTCTCCGCAGCTAATAAATATGTCCATAACGAGTGGTAGGGAAAAAAAAATTTTTTGGACGATTCAAAAGAGTTGTACTATACATCCAATTTGAATAAAGATATATTGATTTCTGAATTCTGATTTCTCGAGTCGGCGACACCATGAAACCCGGCGTACAAACTACTCGGCCACAGAGGTCGTCGTCGAATTTGAAAATAAGGAGTTGATATGCCGACATAAATAAAAGGCCGATAGCATAATTATTGGTTGTATTTTGAGACGGCGAATAATTATTAGTATTATTATAGTTACTGTTACAGTTATGGTAGATCTGGCATTATCTGTGTAAAAAATCTTTTTTAGGGTTGCGTACGCGAAGCGTAAAAATAGGACCCCATTACTAAGACTCCACTGTCCGTCTGTCTATCTGTCTGCCACCAAGTTGTATATTTAAGAAGTGACCACATAGATTTTTTTTTTGCACTATATTAATAACCACCACAGCCGGCCTATTCTCTTTTCTGTCATTTACAGCGTTTAACTAAAAAGAAAATTGTATATCCACTAATCGATCGACGCACTGGCAGAAATACAACACCACCAAAAAAGGTAGTGATATTTTACTGTGGTCTTGTGTAAGGTGGAGGTTGCTTCCTTAGAAGTGTTCCAATGCGAGCGGTAAAGAGACTGTGCCCTACCTCTCGCTTTTTAATTAAAATCTCGAGCTCCTTTCGTTAGCATCCAACAATCCGCATGGGGTCCACTTGGTAGGTCATGGCCCAAACGCCCTATTCCATACATAGGGGGAGACCTATTTCCCAGCAATGAACATAGTAGGAACATTAATAGGCTGACGATGATGATTTCTGAGGGATTAGTGTAAAAGTAGAAGTTATTGCATACGTAAGTATATTTCTTGCAAGATTTGCATTTTACAAACTCAACAGGCTATCAGGTAGTTTTTCACAAATAAAGGCGAAGTTGATCCCGTTGCACCAGAGATCATGCAGCAATCCGTCATCACTCACTCCGCCACAGAAGGAACCACCGTCATATAAGGTGCTGTTATTTGGTTCCCCTTTTAGGAATGATGAGTAGCCAGCCTCTTGAAGAGTCTGACCTATAACAATGCAAGTAGACATATACAATTAGCGTCGAAGTATGTATTCTTGGATGAGGAGCTCAATGGCTTAGTGGTGAACGCATACGATCTGCGATCGAAAGAAGTAAAGAAACTTTCGCAATAGCCAGTCACAACATGGGTGTTATTTTTTTTTTAATCTAAATTTCGTCCATGCTTAGGAAGACAAGTCAAGTTCTCGGTACTGGCTGCACCTACGGGAGTTCAAAACCTACAGAGCTCGCGGCGGGGCCGTCAAAGTCGTCATAAACCGCCACCATGCCAATGCGAACAATGATATTTAGTGACTCATATTTTATTATCGCGCTTCCCGCAAATGAATTCAAAAGCTACTACACCATCGCAGCGCAAATCTATAGCGGAAGACCTTGTATTGAGGAGGACAAACAAAAAACCTAGCAAGTGCTGTTTTAACTTCATTGGCTCACCGTGTACTGTATACCAGACGCCCCGTTCCCCCCAATCGGAAAAGCCGATGGAAGCGACGAAATTATACGGGGACAAAATCGATTTCCTCGGAACTTTGGCGAAGATATCTCTGATGACCTGCGCTTCAGTCTCGCTGTTGATGATGGCAAGGTGACCACCCTCGGCGTTGCAAGTCATCGACGCTTGTCTCCATGTGCGAGCGACCAGGTGGAACTTATAACAACTGCCGGTACGCACATCCAGGGTATAGTCTAAAACAAAGAGACACCATAAAATTAGCTTATTTTATAGTTGATTTGAATTGATTTATTCATGAAATATTTGATTATAGCTATTAACGGGATTGTTACCTTGTTTTTTATGAGTCTCCGATATTTCGGCACTGGTGCAAGCGCCACGTCACGGAGTAACTACTACAAATCCCGTTAATAGCTATAATGTTAGTGACCATGAAAGTTTAAAACAATATAAATATTCGGTTGTTTCGGGGATCGTTAGAAAGCTTAACTAATCATCCGAAGCGACACAGACTGTGAATCAAATCAAGAGGTGGGAGAATTTGTTTGCTTTTTACTTTCTACAACATTTTCTGGCAGTACATAGTGCATAGATTGCAACAATATTCTAAACTAAAATTATAAAGTATTTATTTCTTAGGTTTTCACGCACATCACTCATTAAATAAAACTAATTTTTCACGGGTTAATGCACGAAACTTTATTTATTTATTTATTGACGTTTCGCAGCCTTTAGAGGCTGCTTCGTCGGAATCAATTTTTTATTAAATTTTGTCGAGCTACCTTCGAAAGACTTTTATTGAGCGTTAGGTTATTTCATTGTTCGATTTTTCAAGTTTTATTGTCTATGTATGAATTTATTACTTAATTTAGTTAATAAAGTACTTTATTAAAAATTCTTTTTATAATTTTGAGTTTATTTATTTGACCCTAACTACCGTAAAAATAAAAGTATAAAGTATTTAATATATTGACTCATTTGATATCTTATTGTTTCAAACAGAAATCTCTTTAACCGAATGCATCAATCTCTCACAAAAACATAGTTGACCGAAGGAGCTCTCTATTTGAGATAAGCCCTCATTTGCTGACATCGTCACCTACATCCCCAACTTACCTTTGTCCACGGTTCCACAGGTTGAAGTGACCTTATCGCAAGATTCCTTCCTAAAACATATATAGGGATAAAGGTCGTTGCAGCGCACGTCAACCATCTTGCCGCTGTGCAGCATGATGGTGCAATCTTCGCTGTTCTCATGGTTGTCTGGTTCATCCGGTGCCCAAGAAACCGACATCCTCAGCAGAGGCACTCCTAGGGATTTTTCACATTAGGTTAAAACTACTTCAATCTGTATGTCTAGACAGGTTGTGCACATAAAACAACACAGACGAGACCCGGGACAGTAGCAATGTAATATTTTACCAAATCAATCGTTCTGCCAATTTTTGAATACGGGATAATGTGCACAGAAGTGCCATTCTGCCTAAATACATAAAAACCAAAACTGCAATAGGGTGTTTGACAGTATTAAAAATAAAGTGCCAATTGTTAGCATCTGTATTCAGAATGAATATTGGCAGGAGTTTTTACTATTTTTACAGAAAAAATATTCATAATTTAACTAGAAACCTACGATACAGATAATAGTTTTCTTGTCTATTGTCACGTGACCCAAATCGCTTGGGATTGGTGGAGCCTAAAATGACGTCACACGCAAGTAAACTTCCAGTTAAAGTGACATTTGATTGTATGGTTTGACGTTTTAATGACAGTCGTGTGACGTCAAACACCAGTGCTACGCCATATTGTCCAGAGATAGGTTTGATGCGGCAACTTGAAAATAGAGTTTTTGATTTGGTTTTTTTACTGAAATACACAACATAATGATGAATATCCATTTTCCTTTTTATGGACTCTCTAAACATTAGTAAATAACGTGAGATCGTTTTCTAAAACTTGTCAAATACCCTATTACGACACTATAAACAATGACTTAATATATCACCAGATCCAGCATACTTCTTTGTACTAATTATATGCCCAGTTAGAAATTACACTTTAACAGAGGGGTAATCTACGTATGGCTATTTTGCCCTGCTTGTAATTGTACTTGCAATAATAATAAAATCACAGTCACACCCCAAGCAGATAATCTAAACGAAAAAATGTATTTACAAGTACTTTTCTGATTAAAAACGTGTTTTTATTGAACGTGAAATGCAGTACTTGCACCTAAATTTTACTTGTGCTAAAAGACCTGCAGCATTAAGCATGTGCTAGAAGATTATGCAGTACTTGCTATTTTGTTTTACGAAAGGTAGAAATACTACTGATGCTGATGCTGGAGTAGCACTTTTAAAACACATATTCGATGCTTAGGAGAGTAAACAAGACGCTGTGGGTATTTTTCGTGATCTTTCTAAAGCGTTTGATTATGTAGACCACCAAACTTTACTATAAAGATTGCGACATTATAGTGTTTCTATTCTTGCGACAAATCAAAAGTTAGCAAAACCTAAGAAGCATATATATGCTTCTTAGTTTTTGCTACTGGTTTTACATATATATGTAATTAAGAAAAATGTATTTATATTGGGCGACTATATGTAAGTATACAGGTGCTTCATAATTATACCGTCGATGGAGTAATAGTCTCCCTTGGAGAAGGTGGAATGCACTCCCGTCAAGATGGCACAGGATTCACTGTTCGCCTTCTGCAGCTCGACCATGGCTTCCAGGATCCCATCTGTTAATGGTGACGCCAGCACCGCTCCTATATCAAATTTTAATGGAGTTTTTTTAAAGTTTCGTAGTCAACAAGGAAGTCTTCCCAAGATCGACTGTCCGTTGTGAAATAATAAGGCGTCTTTTAGACGCTCATGCAGCCGTCAATCAACTGCATCAGTAATGAGTGATGAAAAACGGATGGCGACAAAAAAGTCATCAGTCAAACCATTAGTCGAGAAGTTATCCATCAGTTTTTTGACTGCCAACAAAGTGACAGTAAAACCCTCAAAACCTACGATAGGTTGTAGAGTGTCTAATGGACAACTAAAATTGCAAAATTGCAACTGCAAAATTTTGTTAGAGTAAAGTGTAACATTGCCCCTACTAACAATGTTATCATTTCTAAATATCTGTATTCTCTTACTCCTCGATCTTGTGAATATCTGGAAAACTTTACTGCATGAGCACTGCAGAATGGAATCTACAAAGAGTAATTAATTTTGCTTAAATTTATATTCCCCTTTGCACGTAGATTACATACAGTACCCTTAGCACGAACCATTATTTGAATTAATTAAATAAATTGAATTCGATAATGGTTCGTGCTAAGGGTACTGTAGTGCTTCCGTTTGCTTTTAGTCCAAAATATTTTCAAATGAAATTTGCTTGTCAAGTATAAAGTTTAATAGACAATCGGTCAAATCAAAATAGGAAGCGCCCATCATTTGTTTATTAGCGAATACACATCACAATATATGTTCATACTGTTCATACCTTCGGCTCTGCACTTCTGGAACGCGGTGAGGAAATCGGCGGGAACCTCATGATATTTCAGCCAACCGCCCGCCTTTTGGTGGTACACGTAGTCGAAGCGATAGTGTTTGTTATCATTATCTGTCGACAGCATGCACAAATTATGGTTATGATGACATAACTAAGGTTCATACTCATAACGGAAGTGAAACATCTTTCGCAATGGCCGGTCATCGGATGGATAACCAAAATGGTACTGCCTCGACACAGGGCCACTAGAGACAGAATATGCGTGTGACGTACCTAAAGACGTCAACCAATGGCGATACATCATAATAAACATATATAATTTCAAAGCCTGTTTTATGTAATAACATCAACAGATATTTATATATTTTTATTTATCCCCGATTTAAAGTAGTGCAATTTTTTTGACGTAAGGATGCTGGCCACCCAGTGGTAAGTAGGTAACGTCATAGTTTAGTTTGTGACAGATTTTAATATCAACTCAATCATTATGTCAAAGCTGGATAAGACGCATTGCTATGCATTTTTGGTAAGCACTTGATTGTAATCATTATGTCAAATGCAAAACAGTCAGGTTAGGCATGATATTTATGAATTTGTGGTGAAAATATTATACCAATTTATGAAAGATTCTTCATGAAACAAAATTCACAAAAAATACTAATAATGAAACGAGAGATGAACTATTGAATAGAATAAATTTGATGCTTTGGCAACAAACCAGTAGATAAATGAACTTCCCATTTCCCAATCAATAATTATGTAATTATAAATTATTATTATTAAAACACGGGAATACAATAAATTCTAGTCGTCACGTCATAAAAATTTGGAGTCTAACGAAGACTCACTACACTCTCCATACAAATTTGAACCGTCTCCGTTGTCATCCGACCGTGAAGTCACACTGTCCGTGGCCAATCAAAATGCGGCTTCCGCTCCCCGCACGCCGCCAACTTTGCGATTTCGATTTCTAAACAAATAATTAGTACCTAACGCGGATTCTAGTGGGGGAGCTTTGTGTCTCTCAAGCTCTTCCGTTATTCGAAAGGCATTTTAATCAGTTGGCCCCGGCTGCATCTGCAATCGTTAGTCCGCACTGCGCCCGCCTGGTGGGTCATGGCACAATCTCCCTATTCCTTCGAAAAAGGCCTATGCCCTAGCTGCGGGGGACATTAATAGACTGATGATAAATGATCTATGATATAACTTAATATTAACCATACTACCGGTTAAAATCTGTTACTCCAATAGTTCGTCTGATAGATAAAAAGCATTTGCGGACGATGCAAAAGAGCTTTTATTAATAAGTCAATTAGCACGTACTTATATGTAAAAAAGTTTAATTTGATTTTATTATGACTTCGAGGATTTAAAAAGTATATTAATTAAATAGCTTTTTAGATCATTATACTGTTAATTTTGATTTGCAGACCTAGTAATGATCCTTATTGTAATTGCCACTTTGTTGCTATATTTCGTTAAATATTATAGATTATGCTTGTTTATTTTTAAAATCTACATATAAGTATCTTAATAAAAATATACCTCTAAACATTACATTTACCCGCAACGGTGAGCCAAACAATACTGATAGTGAAGCACAATATAACACGCATCATTTTCCTTATTTTATTGCAAACACACCATCAACACGTTATTGTCCAATTATTTCATAAGGAAAAAGTATAAACCTTATACGCCGACAGTAAAATACTAACTCAAATCAACTAATTAACTATAATCTTCACAATTTTCCATCACTTACGAACAAAGTGGTGGTGGTTAACGTCAAAACGCTGGTGTTATCGTTGAATTATATCTCGTTGTTTAATATAATATGACCTTTGAATCGTCAAGAGGGGAAGAGATAAATATTTAGGTAATGAAGGTAACAGTATTCTGCAAAACGGCCGGGCAATCCAAGACCATAGGTAAATTTATCGGAACCGAAGTCGGAGTCGGAGTTTTATGAAGCCTAATAGCAGTTAGTTAGTTTATTTTTGTTTATTGTGTTATGTGTGTGAACATCACTGTTTTAAGAAACAAATTAATATTTCTTTTTACTAGTAATAAATTTTCGTATATGTATTGTGATGCGGCCGCCATTATTAAATTTATCTCTTAACGATTCTTTAACTTATAGATTATAAATTGATCGAATAGCTCTCTTCTGCAGCACAAAAATAGTTTGAATAAAATTCCGTACGACATTACACTATGGAAATAACTAAAGTACACTAATCTGGTCGTATCTACATCCGTTAACTGGCGTATCTTCATTACGGCATATGCTGCAGAGCTAAGTCTATTTGACAATTTATCAATATGTGGTTCCCATTGAAGCTTAGAATCTAAAGTTATCCCTAAGAATACTGTGGTGTCTACAAGGCCCACATTCCTATCCTTTACATTCACACTGGTTTTAACCTGTTTTACATTAGGTAATACAAATTTCATACATTTCGTTTTTAATTCATTAAGTAATAAATTGTTAACATTGATCCAATGAACTTAGAGATACAATTGTTCACGTCGTCAATAACTTTTTCCTTGCATTAGAGTTTAAATAATGGTGATATATCATCAGCGAACAATACTGTCTCATGGTTATCTCTTACATAGTAAGGTAAGTCATTAATATAAGAAAGGACTGGGCGCGCGGCGTGTGTGGGACTCCCCGGCGCGGAACAACGCTGATCCTACCCACTAAAAACCACCGGTACTCTCCTACGCCATATGGGGGCGTCTCAGGATCGACGCATCTTAGTGTGCGCCACTTCACTGGGACGCCCCCGGGAATATAAGAAAGGACCTAGGATTGAGCCCTGCGGAACACTCATCTTAACCGGCGAACCCGGAGACTTATTACCATTAATGTCAATCCTCTGAATCCTATCCCTCAGGTATGATGCAATAAGATCCAGATCGGTATCTCTAAATCCATAGTGGTGGAGTTTCCTGAGTTATGTTTCATGAAAAACGCAATCAAAAGCCTTAGACAAGTCGCAAAACACACCTAGAGCGTCCTGCGCGTCAAAACTTTGTTGTATAAGTTCAACACCGGCATCAGTTCTTGAACGACCCCGTGTCAAACCAAATTGTTTACAGTGAAGTATTGTTATGTTTATTAAAATGTGACTGCATTTGATCTAACATGATTTTTTCGAAAATTTTACTAAAGGTGGGTAGCATCGAAATTGATCTAAAGTTCGTGGGGTCTGCTGTACCTGTTTTATGAAAAGTTATTTTACTGTATTTCATGGGGTCAGTAAAAAACCACAGTCAACACTATCATTAAATATGCAAGCTAGAATAGGAGCTATTGTCTCAATTACGGATTTAGAAACATCAACGGAATTACCCCACAGATCCGCCGTTTTCTTTTTATTTTATTGGTTAAACGTTTTTACTACATCTTTAAAGTCAACATGTTTAAAATGAAAATGACTGCTACAAGCTTTCACGTTTTCTCTTAAGATTGATTCGGCATTAATGGGGAAAGAGTTTAAAGATTTCGTAGTTGAAACTGGAATATCAGTAAAGAAATTTTCAAATGCTTTAGCAACTTCAATATCTGATTTAACCTTTTTATTATCAATATTCAGGTTATAATAATTATTTTTGCGAGTTTTGGATTTTCCAGTTTCATTGTTTTTAATATTCCATGTCATTTTGATTTTGTCATTACTGTTCTTAATCTTTGAACTTAAGTAATTTGATTTTTGCAAAGCGGCATACTTTCTAAATAATTTGGAATAGTTACGAACATGTTCTTTAAATTTTTCACTAGTGTTACAGTTTCGTTCACTATAAAGTTCATAAAGTGTTCTTTTATGTTAATTACTTTATTTAAATGTAAAACATTTCCACCAATTTGTAACATCTCACTCAGCCACTTGTTTAGACATTTTTTTTTCTTAATTGGATGCATTCGAAAAGTCAGTTATTTTGTTGATTTTACTTCCGATCTACTCGACTTAAAGACAACCTACAGTTTCAATGTCAGTACTGAGCCGAATGAGCGCGTAAAAAAATAAAAAATTACACTATCGATAAACTTTTTTAATAAATGATAAATTTCAAAATACGTTCTGACCGAAAACCATTAAATGTACACAGAGGTTTTAGTTCTGTGAGCGAAGCGAAGTGGTATATAACATTTATGAGTAAAACAAGTCTGTATGAACTTTTTAGAATCAAAGAATATAACTAGGATCCTGAGTTTATGAACTATGTTAGAAAAATATTGCAAATTGTATAAAAGTATAGGCATGTAATACTGCAAAGTCAAATTTATCAGGAACACAATATAAAAGTCTAATAATAAAATACAGACCGTATGGGATGTCATCAAGCGCGAAAATGGCAAGTGTAAGCCTCGTGAAAATAACATGGTTCTTAAAATCAATAATAATCTCATAAAATCGAAACATAAAGTCGCAGACATTTTCCATAAATTCTTTATGATCATACCAGTAAAAACTACTTCCAGCTTAGACTTATCGTCAGATACTACTTTAACTCTGTTACAAAAATATGTACCTCCGTATGGTTTATTATTTAATTTTAAGCACGCTAGCTCTTTTGAAATAATGAAAATTTTCCATTTTAAATACATGTATAGGTCAGGGTGTTTTCCTATCTTATGAAATCCATTATTTTACTTTAATTTTAAATTATACCTTTATTGAAGTCTGGAAATTGTAAACATCGTAGCAACTAAAGGCTAATATTTAAATTACCAGCATTGAGTAAAATCTTTGAAAAAATAATGTTAGGACAATTGTTGACTCATTTTAACGTTAATAAACTTTTACACAGAGCGCAGTACGGTTTCACTAAAAACCGTTCCACAACTGGTGCTGTTGCCACTATGCTAAAATATACATTTATTGCTTGGGAAAAGTCGCAGAATGCTCTTGGGGTATTCTGCGATTTATCTAGAGTCTTTGATTGCGTTGATCATCAAACTATGTTACGGAAATTAAACAATTACGCCGTAAAATATACCGCACAAAAAATAATGCAATTATATTTAACAGAAAGGACATAGACAGTTGATATTAACGGTACAAAATAAAAAAATTAAATGGTATTTTGTACATGGCTGGTATTAAAAAAAGTGTGACCGTGAGACCGTGAGAAATTATCTTTCTCGACTATCACAATAGGAAAGAAAATTTCTCACCATAACACTGATGATGATGATATTATTATGATGGTCTGCGGGGCGGCGACAGCGGCGACAGCAGCGGCAGCAGCCATATCTCAACGGCAGGCGTCGTCGCTTGGTTCGAGATGAAGGGAGATGCAGGATCTATACGTGTATGTCTTTGTCCCGCATGCTGGATCCAGCAAGATGGATAGTGCGTAAAGGACTTGAGACATTTTACGAAAACCGACCAAACTTACAACCATGTTAGGTAATCATATTTTATACAAATTGCAGCTAAGACTACATTAAGTTGAGTATTCCACATGGCCGGCGAGGTTCGTTGTCGCTACTCGTAATCAGAAATGACAAGTTTCGCGTAGGGAAGTTTACAGGGTGATGCTACACACAGCACCTACTACAAATTTCATGAAGAAAAACATATAAAAATTGTTATTTTTATAGTTCTAAGATAATTTGCTAAAATTTTAGAATTTTAATTTCATTTGGATAAAGAAAGAGTTGTATTCTGCTTCTAATTTGAATTTGACTTTAAGTTAGTTCATATCACTATGGGAGGAGGGAGACTATTTATTTGTCGAAATAATTTGTATTTTAAATGACGTGATGCTAGCTTGATATTTTACTATTCTTTATTGTACTTTTAGCTAGGTTACCTGATTTTTTTGTGATATCAATCGTTTGTTCCATATAATACTACGCTATGCTTTTGCTCTCTGTCTGTATGTCAGTCACAAGGCTATTTTTGGAATGAAATGTAAACAGACCAGATATTATACAGAATAAACGTTGCTGTTTACTGTCGCTATTATAACAAATAATAAAATAACATTCACGTGAAAAATACAGGAAATACTTGGTTTTTGAACATTTGTTGTTATAAACGTAGAATTGGTTTTACCTTAACTGAAATTGATAAGCGAGTGAATTTTTATCAACGGGTTAACACTTACTTTTAAGATAAATTAATGTATTTTTTAATTTATATTTATCTTTTTTTTCTACAGAATGTAGCGATTGACGTGTTGCGTGTGCCGACACGATGCGCAAGTAATACTATATTGAAAAAAGTGTAGCATAGCCTTAAATTCTAAAATATGGTTTACTGACAACGCTACGAGCTTCACTCGCTTGGAATTATGAATGAGGCTTTCAGATGTCACATCGAGATGTTAATAAACTCTGGCACGAAGTACTTTATTATACGTTAGTAATTTAAGTTAGGGTATTGCAATAAGTGCGTAAGTTAGAGTTAATTGCACTTAGAGCGTAAGTTCTGTTCCACTTCCAAAAGATCCAAAGATATACAAATTTTATTTTTAAAAATCGCTTTCATTGTGAGTGACAAAACATATAATCGATACTAATCTTTCTGTAGATGGGAATTATACAACAAGTATTGTTTTAAACTTTCATGGTCACTAACATTATAGCTATTAACGGGATTGTTACATACAAAAATACATACGAACCACTGGATTCCAGACGCTCGACAATTTAACCCATCCTCACGATTGAAATTCTGTGTTTGGTTATTTTAATCGCTGCTCTAACCAATCTGGGTATGTAGTAGCGTTCTGTCGAGATAGTTTGTGGATTGTGGAGCTCAATCCAGTGATTAGGACCTGAATCAATTAAATGATCCGTGATGACTAGATCATTTAATTGATTCGGGTCATAACGTAACCTATA